GAAGGAAGAGAGGTTGGGTCAATATGGTGGAGGATTGTCTGTAGCATAAATGGATTAGAAATAGATAAGGAGGGTTGGTTGGAGGAAGGATATATTGGTGTTTTAGGAAGTGGGAGTAAAATGCAATTTTGGAAGGATAAATGGTTAGGGGATTGGTTATTAGCTGACAAATTTCCAAGACTCTTTCTCTTGTCTACAAACAAAGAAGCAAATGTGGCACAAATGGGAACTTGGACAAATGGAGTATGGACTTGGAATCTGAGTTGGAAACGTAACTTGCTAGTTTGGGAGCATGAGCAGTGGCAGGAACTTGAACAATCCTTACAATCAAAAACAATCATCCAAGGAAAGACAGATTCATGGTTATGGAGGCATAGTAAGGATGGTAAATACTCAGCAAACTTAGGATATTTTCTCCTAAGCCAACCATGCACAGAGAATGAAGGATTCTACAAACTCGTTTGGAATTCGGCTACCCCAAGTAAAACAAAGGCATTTCTTTGGCAGTTATATATTGATAGAATTCCTACTAGATCAAATCAAATCTATGGAAACATGGTGTTCTCGACAGTGAGAATCAATGCAAATGTGGGCTATGTGGGTTGCAGGACGAAGACTCAGGTCACTTATTTCTCCATTGTGATTTTACTTATGCTTTATGGATGAGATGCATGCTTTGGTGGGGACTTGTATAAGTTATTCCTCACAATTGCAGTCAGGGCCTTGAACCATTATGCAATATCGCAGGAAGTGGAGGAGGAGGTGCTGGCTGGAGGATAGTATGCATTCCGTGCATTTGGTGCATTTGGCTGGCTAGGAATGAAAGAATATTTAAAGGCAGCCTTGTTGAAACAAATAGATTATTTGAATTGGTGCAAATGAGATCTTACCATTGGCTCAAAGGGAAATTGGAGGGTAGCTATTTCAATTATAACGAATGGTCTGCTGATCCGTTGCTATGCATGAAATCAATGAAGAAGAAAAAGATTATGATGCGGAAACAATGATGTGGGACGGTGGGTGGCCATAGCGTCTAGTTCTTTGAGACTTATTGTTGGTTGTCTATTTTCCTTATAATGGCCAATTTCAGTTGACTATAAATCCCATTGTTAGTTGTATGGGTTGAGTACCCCTTGTACTCATTATCAATAATATTGCTGTTCAAAATATATATATA